CTCTGCTGCCGCCTGCCCGGCCGGGGCTGTCACTGCACGCCCGGCACAGGGACACAGGGGATTTTAAATGGATCTCCAAAGCGGCAGCCTTCCCCGGGCGCAGAAAGGCCGAGGCCCCCTCACCCGAGGAGCAGTGCACCGCAACACAGCAGGCCGCAGGGAGCCCCCGTGAGGGGGGCGCAGCCTCCCTCGCCGGTGGGAAAACCCTGCCTTCCTTCACAAGCTACCTGCACCCCACAACAGCATCGTTTTTCAGCATGTATTTGGAAGAAGATGAAACCCGTTAGAGTTAGGGAGGCCTGAGAGTCAGCTTCTTCCCAAGTACAAGGCCTGTTACTGAACTGGAGGTTAATGACAAGCCCAGAGACTCGTCCCCATCTGCAGGAGAAGCTGGAGGCTGTTAGCCCATTGCTGGGGAAAAGAGCAGATACATTCACCCCTTTCTGCATCTGGATGATTTACAGAAAAAAACCCCATCTTTAGCATATTAGCAGCAGGTGGTATTTGCTATACATCTGTATTTGCTCCCTATATAGGACAAACCTCTTCTGGTCTGAGAAAAGGATATGGAATAACCAGTGTCCTTTTTCTGCATTCCTGTATATCCTCAGGAAGACATGATCTGGCATATAAAGACAGTAACCTAATTGTTCTAGCAGCTTCAGAGCTGGGATAAAAACCTCAGGATGAGTTTGTTCCCTCCAGGTCTGAGGGCTGCTCCATCTGGCAGGCAGTGCAGTGCCTCACAAATATCTCAGAACTGCATGGATGCAGGCATAGTGCATGCATAACATGTCATCAGAGTTCAATAAAATAAATTGGAAGGAGAAAAAGTAATTTTCAAAGCACAATTCACAGGAAGCACAGGATGATTTACAGAAGCTAGAGGCTGCAAGCTGACAGGAAAACAGCTCCTCACAAATTACTTATCTTTCAGGTCAGTCACTTGAGAAAAATATAGGATGGTCAAGAATCACTACCAAGGTGTGATTTGTATGCAGAAGGGCTGCTGCTCATTGCAACATCTCTCTTGTAAAATACAGACTATGAATATGTATATTCCCTAGAACAACAGGGTTGCTTGTTTCCCTACTTTGTATAGATTTGCAGTTCTTCAAAGATAAACCAGTATTTTATGACTGAAAAGGCCAAAAATGCTGTAGAATGAGTATTTCCTTTCTATCTGATTAGCAGATTAATTATAACAACAACGTATTTGCCCCTGTTCTACACCCCTGTTACCAAAAAATGGCACGGGGTATAGCTTGTTCTGGACCTTTCCTTCTAAGGGGTTCTTAAAACATTCCTGGAAGTACCATAAACAAAAGTTTCCATATCTGGAATAAAGCAGCAGCACCAAACTGTACCAATGAAAAAAGCTAGTCCGATAGCCAGCAGGTACAAATGCACAACCTTTGTCATATAAAACTGTGCCTGAGGAATTAAAGGGAGACTTGAATCTAGTTTCTTTAGGTTCCTTACTAATAATTATTGTCTTGGGCCAATGTCATTGAAAGCCCATGGTAGCAGATACAGGATGTCAGGAAAGGTAGTCTGGATCTCTTGAGACGTATTTGGCATTTCCATAATTCAAACACAGTGTGGTGTTACTAACCTGCATAGTCACCATCCAGCCATTCCAAACAGTAGGAGAATCCTTTGAGCAGTGCTTCCATTTAACAGTTAACAGTTCTACTAAAATATGTTTTCATTTGCTTTCCTTTACAACATTTCAAATTTGGCCCACGTCGCTGCATTTACTCTGGGGTTTGGTTTTTGGTTTTTTTTTGGTGGTGAGCTAGAATATAATCTTACAAAAAAAGAGATACATTTTAGCAACTCTAACAGCTTGATTTGCAATAATTTGTCTACCTTTTGTCAGTACTAATTGTGCGAGATATGGAAAATAATTCAATTGCTATGACTGTAACCAGAAGCCCTAATAATAATGAAATTCGAAAGTAAAAGTAACATGCCAGATGAACTCTGCCCACCTAAACAAGACAGTAAGTGGCAGCTTTTTTATCTTCACAATTCTTAATTACATTTGTCTTTAGTGGCTGATCTGAAGTCTGGAGATGTCAGTGGTTGCAAGGAAAGGGAAGGACTGCCCGAGACAATGGCTGTCCTCACAGAGAAACGATCAAAGTTCATGGTGACATCTTTTTTTTTCTGCCTGGAAATGTTTTTTATGTGAAAGATGAAGATATTCCATGCATTCCAAGATTTCCCAACATTAAGAGGTCACCCAGAGCTAAGCCCTTCCGTGCTTATCAGCCTGTAATATGACAGTAGCACAGCACCATGCAGCAGAATCTATAGATAGCTACAGCAATTTGCCTCTGTACCTTGCAGTCTTGGCTTCCCCAAGTTTCAGCAGGCCTGTCTGAAACACAAAGTCAGATCAAGCCTACTCACGTAAACAGGTTGTTCTGTGTCACATCCTTACTTGTGCTATAACTTTAGAGCCCAGCTTTGCTGTCAGATCCACTCAGGAACAGGTTGTGGTACATGCAGCCTGGACTGCAGGACTGCATCTTTACTCCAGTGCTGTATTTGTCTCACTTTTGAGAGATTACCTTCATAATAAAGCCCATTTTTTTCCTGTTCAAATTAACAGCTGGAATATCTTCTTTTGGCATTATTTATAGCACATTATATGCTCGTGTCCTTTCAAACTTATAGACAACACTGTACCTTCAAACGAAGAAAAACAAAGAAACAGCTGCAATCTTCACTTGATAACATTTATTCAATATTTTCTGAAATAAGCAAGAATTTTAAGAAGCCCATAAGCAATCAAATACAGCCACAAAAACCCCATACTGATCCTAAATAAGAAGCACTATGAGAAATACACAATATTTCATGAAACAATACTGTACATCAACAACCTTTAGGAAACAAACAACTCAAACCATATGCTTAGTTTACTCACAATATAAAAAACTTTAACCTTTAAAGAAAAATATAGATTCAGTCCAATTGTAGGATCCAATCCTGTGCCCACTGAAGTCAATGGAAGTTCTCTCATTGATTTCAATGTTTAAAGGATCATGCCCTTACTTTGCCTCAAGAGGCACTTTAATTATTATACAAGGCCTAGCCTGAATACTATTACAAAAATGTCAAACATCAACTCAAGAGTATGTTTCAGCAACTTTCAGGAAATAATGGAGAAATAGGTTATCTATCCATGCATGGAATAAGGCAAAAGCTAATTCATTCAGATCAGGAATAATAATTTTTACTAGTTTCTTTTTCACAACACAAACATTTTAGACTTTTTTAATTAATGGATATATCATATTATGCTTCACATTTTTCCTACCTCTACTGAGAAAGCTGGCACTGACATGTCAAAGAACTCCTCATTAATTATTGTTTTCTGCTCTGTAACAACCACAAGAAACTCATCTGGGTTTAGTAATAGTGTCTACCAAGAAAAAAGCACACACTATCATAAGCTTATAGTTTATAGAGCTCAAGGTACATTAAAATGTAATTCATGAAGTTCACAAATTCTGTTTTAAAATATTTTTCCAAACTAAAAGCTGCAGAAAATTGGTTCTTAAATATTCTACAGAAAATTCTGAAGCATCTAATGGTTTAAATTACTTATTATGCTTTCTTCTTAAAAATATTTAAATTAGGTTAGTAGCCCATCCTTTTGAAAAATAATCCAAAAAAGATACACTAGATTACAAATCTTTTGTCTTAATCAGTGTAACCAAAGGTTTGTCATCTGGGCTGTAATCTTCATAAGCAATGGGGGTTGCATCATACATTGCAGGTCGGGATTTCTTGCCAAACCTGGAAACAAAAGAAAGCTTTTGGTGACATACAGAAGCATGAATGAGTTAACGGCAATAACCCACTGAGTTATGGTATGCGGTCAGAAACAAACCCAGAGAGCCTAGATAAATTCTAAGTTGTATTGCAACATGCCAGAAGTACAGAAGTTTAAATATCTGAACTATGACTTTTGAGATATACATATCAAATAAAAAAAAAAAAAAATCTTCCTACAAACAAGAAACAGATCCCATACCAAAGGCTACAGGAATTCTGCTGTGGAACTCAGCAGTATCAGAATATGGGAAGACTGTGGAAGGCAAGAGTGAAACTGATACAGTTTCAGCAAGAGGTTAGCCTGCTCTATCAACTGATATTAAGGTCAGGTCATATATATTTACAAAAGTAAATAATAGAGAACTATGTGACATTTGCATTTGGAAATGCAATAGTTGTGCACTGAATTGAGTTATAAGCCACAGACAAAGCTTTTCAAAAATGAACTTGAAGTCTTTTTTCACCTGACCCACTTGAGAAGCACATTTGAATTATCCATGTGCTGCATGCTATTTGGAACACTGGCAAAAGTAATGGCAGTTAGGATATTGCAATGCCACATAAACATACTAATCTAGCAAAGGTTCACAAGCAACAGAATCACATCAGCAGTGTGCTCCTCCTGGGCAACCATCACTGCTAAGCACCAGGCTGTATCTGCCTGTGCAGAGAACCCCTACAGCTGTATCATTGTGGCCTCAGTGCTGGCATATTCAGAACTCCTTTAGGTGCCTTTGTACTGCACAGACAGTCTATCTTCTTTCTGATCACTTATTAAGATATAAAAATCACGCAAAAAATGCAACTTGAAACTGGAAAAATTACTAAAGTGTTCCGACTACAATTACAGGAGCTTTAAATAACAAAAAGGAACACAGGAAAATGAGGCAAAAAAGGGTCAAGTCTGCTTTTCCTTATGGACCTGATGTAGACAATATATTAACACAGAAACAGAAAGACTTATTTATGTAGTGATCCACACTAAGGATTCTTTTAATCCCCTTCTTATGTACCACATTAAGTCTATATTAAAGTTGTGCACACTGGAAAGTGAGATTCAGAAAATTCAGATTTTGAGGATAAGATTTAGACCAAACCAAAAGTAACTTGATTTTCTTCCAAGATTTTAATGCAACTTCCTGACTGTTGCATTTCACTTCTTGGCTGTTTTCAGTGACCTAGAACTGTTGACAAAAGTAAAATGGCTGGAAGCATTATGATCTGTATGGTGGAAATTTCATTCTTCAAAGTACTTCAGCTGTCAGTAAGGCCACACTAGATACAGTTCCATGCATGGATGTCTGCTTTCTTCCATAGTTTACTTTAATAAATACAGACAGGCCACATTCGCCCATCAGCGTCATGATAGATAAACCCTATTTTCTGTAAATGAGATAAAATTCCAAGAATTGGATGAAGGAATCAAGTTACGGCATATTACTAAATCAGAGGCAGCAATGAATTATGAATCATCCTTTTTCTCCATCACTCTCAAGGGTTTAAAGGAAATAGAGCTTTGCATAGATACAAATGACGATGAAATTTCTCCAGTGATTTAAGTTAAATTTTGCCCTTCCTGACAGGTAGAGAACACATGGCTTGTTGCACACGGTGAAGCAGTACAAAATCTGTTCTCTTGTGTAGGTCAGGGTTGACATGTGCCCCTCATTAGGAAATGCTGAGAAAAGACCGCAGCACATGTGCTAGTTGTTTGTGGCCTGGCTGAGCCATCTCGCTGGCAGACCGCATTGCTTTGATCAGGCAGTTCAGAAGCCAGTCCCTGCTCCTAACAGTAAACAGAGTTAACACAAACCTCCAAGGTCTCAAACCAGGATTGTTAAATGGGAAGCCTTAGTTCAGTGGGTGAGTATCTGGTAGGATTGCACAAGAATGCTATTTTATCATTTAATTGATGACATAAAAGAAAACATAAAACAATTACCAATACAATCTACAAGAGACAACAATTCAAGGGGTAATAAGTAGTGAAAAGATGCAGGGCCCTGCTACAGACTGTACTGGATCAATTAATAGGCTGCTTCCAACAAAAGCACGTGCAAACAAATGAATAAAGATTTCTTCCAGTGGAACCAAATACAAGATTATTCGTCTAACAAAGAGTATGCACCGTGTGGGGAAACCTCAGTCCTAGGAAGCGCTGAGTCTGGAAGAAGACTGGAGGGACATGATGGATAATCAGTTTAACATTAGTTTTAATGCCATACTGTGTCTGATGAACAATAATGTGCTTAGATCAGTAAACAGAGTGCATCAGGATGGCTAGGGAAGTTCTATGGCCTCTCCATTTAGCATTGACGTGTCCATAGTGTTCCTATGTGTCACCAGAGATACTTACTGGTGACACAGGGATCGTCACAAAGTCAAGTAAACGACATGAGAATTAGAAAATATATTTTGCAATGAAATATTGAATAAGAGTGACCTGTGTAACTTGACAAAGAGAGTCCGAAGGTTCCGTGACAATTTGGGGGACAGTATATACTCAGTGTAGGAATTTTTCTTGGCACAGGCAGCTCCACGTGTGCGTGCATGTGTGTATATGTGTGTGTGTGTGTGTATGACGGAGACTGCAAATGCTACTTCACATATGCAATGGGCTTGCCCATCCACTTCCTTAGAAGGACATTTCAAAAGATGGCTAACCATAGAGTCATTAACCTCAATAATTCCATTCAAGTAGAAGACTTCTGAGAACATTGGATGGCTGAACCCTGAGGAAATGGTATCCTCCAGCTTCTGTGGGATAGGCTGGAATTCAGAATTTCCCCAGAAGCAGAAGAAAGAAACCACATGTTGCTACTCTGTTCAAAACCAGCAACTGGTATAAGGAGTCCCCAAACAAAGTTTAAACAAGAGAAGGAAAAGAGAGAGACCAGAATTAAAAAAAAAAAACAACAAACAAAAAACACCCCCGCATACCCACAGGAGGAAGGAATTATTTTTGCCTCCACAGGAGGAGAGTAAGAAGATTAATTTCCTCTGCATTACTCAGAGAAAAGGCCATGTGTGCAAGTGGTATTTTGTGTTTCTTAGCATAATTGAACTATAAACCTAAACTTCCAACAAACTTGAGACTCTGGTAGAGGGTGTATATAAGCAATTGGCAAGTACTGTGGAGACCAGAGTACTTGTGCATGTGATCATACTTCCACAAACAAGTAGCTGTGACTGAAAGTCATCACTGAAACCTATGTCAGGAAACGGTAAGAAAAGAGCATGTGCTGAAGCTCATCAGATTCAGGAAGCTGAGGATGTTGCAGTCTATCACAGCCGACTCCAACACAGGCATGTGAAGAATGTGCAGTGGAGAGAAGCTTACCCTGCTGTGACAAGATGACTTAATCAGAATCTGATGAACCAGACTCTTCAACCGACACATAGACAGAAGTCAGCACGTGAAAGTAAAAATTAAAGAAACTACACTGTAAGTAGTGCATGAAGTCTAATGCTAATGATATCTAGACACACAAAAAGTTTACAGTAGTACAATCTCCATAATCAGGTATTTTGTGAACTCAGTGTGGATGCTTTTCTGAAGTGAACGATTCAGTTTCAACAACAGATCCTGGTTCCAATTCAGTGAAGTCTTATGGCTGCAGGAGCCAGTGGTCAACTATTTCAACAGAGTGTTCTCTGCTGGCTTTAAAATGTATAAGCTTTAACATAAAAGGAGTATTTATTTACTGTCTGCATAACACATACTGAAGAGAGCTGTGCTTCACCTGGTTAGAAAACTATCTAGTTCTGATCTGCTAATCCTAAAAACATTCACTAGAAGTAGACATTTACTAGCAAAGATCCTAGAGCATGTTTGTTTTCTCTTACAGCAAGCACCTTGATTAGTAAAAATTAAATTTTAAAAAGCGATCAAAAGACCTACTGAGAAACATGAACAAGTAACTTTAAAATAATTTACTGACTATGCAACAGGCATCCACATTCCCTGAACACCTACTGACTTTAACAGAAACCTTACATTTAAAGAAAATAATCTACTCACTTTTCCTTAGGTCTCCATTTTCCAAAATTACTAGTAAATTTGGGTATCTCACTGGGAAGAGGAATGATTTTCAGAATATGCTGAGAATCTATTATTTGAAAGTAGATCTCTTAGATACAGCAATTCTGAAAATTCAGACCTTGGTGTTTTTAATATACAAATTTAAGAGCTTATACAATAATAACTATAAAAGTTGTGCTCTTTTTCCTAGACTGAAATGACCAAAGCAGTTTTATGTCTTTCTGAAACCAAAATAAACACAATAATCTTTACACTAAACCTCTGTGAATTCTCTGACTTGGCAGTTCTATCTTGGATTTTTATAAGACATCCATTCTCTGAGAGGCACAGAGAATTATTTGGAATGAAAACATTTATTTTCATTTGCATTAAGTAGAAGGATCTTTCCCAAGATAGGGAAACCCTTTATTGACAGGTTCCAATAATGTAATTTTTAACTGCATAATATGGATCTGAAAAATCATCATGAATATATCCCAGTCTAAGAACTTCTTCAGAGGTTATTTAACCCTGATGAAAACTTGTTTTCCTAAACTTCTGCTTTCAGTAATAAACATAGATTCACTCAGAGTAATCCAGGTAGTAGCAATAAAGACCTGAACTAGCCCAGCTTCCAAGATTTGAAAGGTTTCATACAGGAAACCTTACCATTTCCATTACCTGCCGGTGAAACTGTAAAAGGCAAGGAAAAGTCAGATTAAAAAGATCCTGCCTTGCTGGTACACTTTTCCTTGGTACCCTCAGATAGAAAGCTGCCGAATTTGCTTGAAGAAATGGGTAAGAAAACCCAGGTGTTTCACACTGCTCCTCAGGAGACCAATTCCAGTCCCCGGGGAAGTGCAAAGTACCACTTCAGCGAGTAGTAACTGAACAGGATTGACACATTCATCACTGCTGCAGTAGTAGGAGGGAGGTGTTTCATTTGAAAGATTAACAGTATCATTTTGCACCTTGCTCTCCACCCTTGGAGATGTGTAGTACATAACAGTAGACATTCAGAAGGCCAAATAATAAAAAACTATAAAGCTTTTTATGGGCCATAAAGCAACTCCCTCCTCTCCCAATACACTACTAAAGGAAAAAGGAGTTCTCAGGGTGTGTATGGTGTGGAGATGCTGAGCTCATACTAGAAGAGATGTCAAGGCTAAGTGGCAAAGGACACTTCAAGGGAAGACTTAAAGAACGGTGATTTTATTGCTCTGTTAAATCAACTATACATGTGTGTCTTTTAAAAATATTTACTTACTAATATATTTTGACAGCGAACAAATGTTTTATTGTAAATCTAGTTGGAACACTTTAAAGAGCTACTGCCCAAAGCTGTGATATGATTGACTGAGTCTGTAGGAACTCCTCATCTATCTCAGATAACTTTGACGACTTCAGTGGTGGTACAAATTAACCTATTTAATTTGCACTGAAACAGAACTGGCATATTCCAAAAATTAATTACCAGCATCACTAACCAATATGCACGCATTTCTCCGTGTCAATGCACAGGAACGTGTCTTCCTCCGTTCTTTTAAAAGCATTTTAATGGTAACACACATGAACACCCTTGTTGAAATCTGCAGTAATCTTGACAAATCAAAGAAATGGCAAAAAGAAAAAACAAAAATGAAAGTTCTACCCTATTAAGAGATAGGTTGAATACAGAAGAAACAATACTGGGTAGGAAGCAAAATGGCTTAGAGGAAAAGGTCTAACAGGTCACAAAATTAAATCATCAGTCACTAGTGTAATGCAAGTTAAAAAAAAAAAAGCAAGCAGGTTTCAAAAAAAAGCCATAAGTAAGATGCAGGAGGTGATCACTCAGTTCATTTGGTACAGGTAAAGCTTCAGCCAGAGAACTATCTCCAGCTTTAGGGAGCACCTTTCAAAAAAAGAGAAAGACAATCTGCAGTGTGTCCCAGGGAGACAATAAAGAAGCTGACATAATCCAGGAGATACTAGAAGAATGGGCTAGTTTAGGCTAGGGAAGAAAAAGGTTGGTTTGCTTTTTTGCTTTGTTTGGTTTTATTATAAAAAGGGGCGGGGGGGGACACAAGGCACCTGATGTACATGATTACTATAAAGGGAACAGCGATAAATTATTCTTCATGACAACCTGAAGAGCAGTAAGAAAGAAGCAGCCTAAATCATAGCAAAGAAAATCTAGGTTGGATTTTAGGAAAGCCCTTTCTAACTCTATTTGACTCCTTTGGAGGTTTTTAAATACAATTGTTGGCAGGGAGCTAGGTATATCAGCACTACGGCTTACACTTGAGTTCTTGAATCCCTCCCAGTCCTACATTTGTATTATTCTGACACGCAATGCCCTGGTTTGCAAGTGCTCCATTAAAATTAAAAGTAAAAAAATTACTATCTCTAGGAAAGCAAGTAAGAACGATCCTAATTTCGAGGCTAACAGGAGCACAAAAATGAGTGGTTTGAATCTGGTAAATAATCTGGTAAATTAGTCACAAAAATCAACGTGGCTTTGCTATCTAATCAAATTACTTGTGTGTATCAGTTAAAAGAGTATTTACATCCCAAACAGAAGATCTTACAAGGCTAAGAGCTCTGCATCTGTGCCCTCTTCACCAGTTACACCAAATAAATTCAGAATAACTCCCTCTGTTTTCAAGGAGTTGTGCTGGATTATCACACTTCAGATGAGAACAGAACAGGGATCAAAAAAGAACAATGAGCAATGCTGATGATCCTGTCTTTTCACAGCGAAGCAGCCCGTTCTCTGCCAACAGCAGTTAGATGCACTATGCATGGACTGAAATTATGTATCGTAACAGATTTCTTTTAAGTTACCATCCCCAGAACAAACCTGGCATGTCGGATAGAAGCAATTGCACTACTGAATTCACTGTCAATGCTTCTACAGTTGTAAAATTCTTCATAGGCTGGCCTGGAAGAGCCTTGATATTCGATGCGGCTGATGCGACATATTCCCACAATCAGAATGATCAGCATCAGGACAAATGCTACGCAGAGTGCCCCAATTATGATGTAGAGGGAGTGACGAGGCATATTTGTTAGACTCTCTGCCATATGCCCAGACTTCCACTGCAGATCTGCTGATAAGAAATAAAAGGATATCATTAATTAGTAATTTGTATCCT